AGCATGAAACATACTGTCGCCACTTTGTACTGATCTCAATGTTCACTTTTTTATTTACATACACTCTATCTCTGATATTGAGCACTTTTACCTATAAATATACCATACCTTAAAACTGTATTATATATATATATATATATATATATATATATATATATATATATATATGTGTGTGTGTGTGTGTGTGTGTGTTTAAACATATATTGTTAAATATAACAAATAACGAATGTCTATATACTAATTTAAAATATGGTCCCATCGCTACACAGGAATTACCATGTTTCAAAAACAGCAACTAAAACTTTAAATCTAATTATAAAATTAAAATTAAAATCCCTAGTTCTGTTTCAGTCTCATGCTATTTTTGGAATAACTTATTTAGAATTTACTGCATTTATAAGCACATACAATTTTGATATTAGTTGTTAAGGTTACGGGAAATTCAGTCATTTTGATAAGGGGTGGTAGGGTATTCAGTTTCATAGACAACTTATGTATCAAACATAAGTTACTATCAAAATCAGGTTAAGTTAAGGTAGGGTATTCCTAAAATTTTAAAGTATTATTCCTACTTCTAATAACTAATAGACAATATATTATATATATATATATTAGAATTACTTTCTTATTTAAAAATTATTATTCAAAGATCAAGTATAAATATGTATGTTTCATTTTTCATCATTTTACTTCTTTTTTATTTTTTTCAAATTTAATCGTTATTTAAGGAAAATTTTTGACAGTGTCTGCAAAAAATAACTATTCCATTTCTTTGATTAAGTAAATTTTATTTTTCATAAACTTAATAATGTATAATTTCTCATGTATGCATAAAGAACATGTGTCATTTAATGACCTAAAACACTAGCTTTTCTTATTAATTTCCATTTTTCATTTAAGTGCCAGAAATATTTAGATAGGGACGTCTGATTTCGGCATTTACTTATTTTAAAAGAACTTTGATGTTGGTTCCAACACCTTTTGAATTCATGCCTTGTGCATCCAATGTAAACTTTAACTTGGTCTGGATCCTCAATTGATTTAATGATTTAGTGTGACATTTATTAATAAGAGGACAATTTTGAGGATTTCTACAGTTACATATTTTTTCTTTATCTTCATTTCTTTTTATTATAGTCTCTATATTTTTTGATTTTGCTCTAAGTGTTTCCTCAAGATATTTGCATTATGTTTCTTAATAATCATTTCTAGGTTTTTTGTATATATACAGGGGTTGGCCAAAATAATTGGAACACTTGTTAAATTCAAAGAAAATTTATTTATATGGAGTTGGTCCCCCTTTAGCCTCACAGACAGCTTTAATACGTCTAGGAATAGAATCATACAGCTTCCTGACTTCATCCAGAGGAATTTTCAGTCATTCTTGCATTAAAACCTTCTCCCGCACTTTACGACACGACGGTGGAGAATAGCGGCTGCTAACTTGTTGCTTCAAATGCACCACAAATGTTCAATAATATTAATATCTTGAGATTGTGTTCTAGCTCACTTTCATGCTCTTCATACCAATTCTTAACCACTCGAGCGGTATGTATTGGAGCATTATCATCTTGGAAGATGCAGTCAACATCAGGGAATAAAGTCTTGGCCATTGGATGAACATGATCTCCCAAAATATTCAGGTAATCTTTGCTGTTGATTCTACCATGCAAAGCAACTATTGGACTGCGACATTTCAATGATATGGCGGCCCAAACTATCACTGATCCACCTCCATGCTTCACTGTTGGAAGAAGGCAGTCAGGGTTGTAAGCTTCTTTGGGCTCCCTCCACATATAAACTCACCCTGAAGTTGGGAAAAGAGAAAAACTGGACTTGTTTGAGAATATGACTTGCTTCCATTGGTCTACAGACCAGGCATTGTGATCTCTGCACCACTTCAACCTCTTTTGAATGTTGCGAGTAGAGAGAAGAGGTTTCCTCACAGCGGCTCTTCCATGATATGAAGCCTTATGGGGCTCACGGTGAACAGTTTTAGTAGAAACTGAACTATTCAGATGGTTATTCAACTCTGCATTTGTCCGATGATTTTTGCCACATTGCGTTTCAATGCACGTCAGTCCCTGTCAGTAAGTTTGCAAGTCCGGCCCGAATTACCACAGTTGCTAGAGGTCTTTCCCTGTTTCTCGAATTGCATCAGTGTTCTTGATATGGTAGCTCTTGAAAAACCAAACAGTTCAGCAACCTTAGTGATCGAGGCTCCTGCAATGCGAGCTCCAACAATTTGCTCTTTTTCGAACTCGGGCAGGTCACGCATTTAGTTTAAACTTTACTAAATTCTAAAAATAAATAAGACAAAGACAGTAAATAGATAAATAAACGTATTTACAATAGATATAATCTGAAATTACAAAGTTTTAGTTAAAGTTCTTAATAAAATAGGTCTTTGATATATAGGAGTGGATTTTGCAACTGTTCCAATTATTTTGTCCAACCCATATATATATATATATATATATATATATATATATATATATATATATATATATATATATAAAGGATGAAATGGAACTAATGTCTTTAATTTAATCACAAAATTAAATTCGGGGCTTTTTTAGCTTCCATTTTTGAAACATGATTAGAACTGTGTAGCGAAAAAAAACATATTTTAAATCAATTAATTTATAATATATATATATATATATATATATATATATATATATATATGTGTGTATATATATATATATATACATATATATATATATATATATATATATATATATATATATATATATATACACACACACACACACACATATATATACATCCAACCGGAACGAATGTATTGGAGAAATCTTACACGACGAAAGAGAACAACTGACTACACATAGAACTACCGATATGCCTGAAATTCTAAAAACCGAAGTCGTGGCAACACTGGCCAAAATGAATAGAAACAAGGCGTGGAGGGGCGCAGACGGAATTGTAACAGAAATGCTGACAGCCTTAGATCATTTCGGCATAGGCAAGATTACGGAAATAACAAATTATATCTACAGCAGTGGTTATATACCGGAAGATCTAAGCAGATCTATTTTCATAGCACTACCTAAGAAACCAGGCGCAAACGAATGTGAATTCTACCGAACAATTTGCCTAATGAGCCACATAAGAAAACTCATCATCCATATTCTGATGAATAGAGCGCATAGTAGAATCAAGTCAGAGATAGAACAAGAACGGTTTGTTAAAGACACCGGAACAAGGAACGCGATATTCATGCTCAGAATGTTATCAGAAAGACCAATACAAATTCAGAAGGACGTTTTGTAGACTACGCAAAGGCGTTCGACAAAGTACGCCACAAGGATCTGATTGATCTGCTCAGTAACCTTGATGTATTTGGGAAAGATATTAGTATAATCTAAAATCTCTAGTGGCAACAAACGGCCCGCATACGGTTAGAAAATGAGTTCAACAGATATACAAAAATAGAAAGGGACGTAATGTGTCTTCTCACCGGACCTGTTCAACTTATACAGCGAAGCATTTCTGAGAGAAATGAAAATCCTACCAGGATTCATCATTGGCGACCACAATCTTAACATAAGATATGCAGATGACACAGTTCTAATAGCAGGCACGGAAAGGAAATTACAAAAGATCCTACAGAAGATAGCAAGGGAGAGCGAGAAGAAGGGACTAAGCATAAACTACAAGAAAACGGAATGCATGGTCATCAGTAAAAGGATGAGCCCAAAATGCGATTTATAGGTCGGGGACACTAAAATCAAGCAGGTTCTGGAATTTAAATATCTGGGAAGTGTTCTGACGGAGGACGGTAAGTGCGACACTGATTTCCGACGACGTATTGGGATGGCCAAAGACGCATTCCAAAAGGGAGGCAGAGCATTACACAACAGGAGGATTTCGTTGGTAATAAAGAAAAGAATACTGAACTGCTACCTGATATCTGTCCTCCTTTACGGCATCGAATGTTGGACGCTCTCCTCAAAGATGAAGAAGGGACTCGAGGCAACGAAGGTATGGTTTTATTGAACGATACTGAGGATACCATTGAACGAACATGTAAGCAACTACGAGGTTTCGAAGGGGATGCAAACATGGAGGAAGCATCAGGAAGAGGAAGCTGAAATTTCTAGGACACATAATGAGAAAGTAGAGCTTGGAGAATCTGATACTCACAGGGCGGATAGAGCGATTTTATTGAATAAATTTACTCTTTAATATATTTTTGTGTAATTTTGGTAAATACATTTCTTAAAATGTAATGTCAATATTATTTTCATTTTGCGTAATTTAGACGAAAATTTATTCATATAAATGTATATATATATATATATATATATATATATATATATATATATATATATATATATGATGTATTGGTGTGAGTTCGTGTCGAATCTAAAATGATTTGAACGCAACAACAGCAGTGGCGATTTTGTAAATCTGAAAGGGTGGGGGAACTTGGGGGGGGCGATATTTTGTTCGGAGCAGGGGGGGGCAAATTCAAGCAGCGTCTTTATTTTCATACTACACCACTATCGTATACACAACTTAGGAATGAGTTTTAGTATAAGTATGTTACTTCACTAGATTAAACAGAGTAACTTTTCATTCACAGTAGTGGAGTTCTAATCTCTTATTGCCATCTTTTCCACTCTTAAGCTGTTGGACTACAAGAGAGGTTAACTTCAAAACAAAATGAAAGGGTTAATACTAACGTCAATACTAGCAGAACAATGTAATTTGTTTGCTCTGATCTTTTTCCTCTACAAAACTTAGAAAAGTAGTGGGGCAACTGAGGGACCAGCCCAAATTCTGCCCCACCGTCGTAAAATCGCCACTGAACAACATTATAATCTTTACTACGGAAAGAAAAAAACAAAATGGCGTTACTTCTGTTCTTCCAATCACCATTAAAAGAGTCTAGGCCGTGAAATAGTCCACATATCCGATCGCAAAAAGACCACTTCGCATTCGTTCAAATTGAAATCATTAAACTGACGACTCACCTTCAGACTATCGTCCCATCCGCCAGTGACGAAGATATCGTTGTTGTCGGGACTGAATTTGAGGGCATAAATTCGGTTCATACATCCTTCTTCCCTGTGGTGTGAATTCTCGCCGCCGTAAGTGTACAACAACTGCGAATATAGAAACAAATAAATAATGCATGTCAGAAATACAAAGAAGACAAAAAAAAAAAAAAACGGAATCAAGGTACAATCAGGAGTGTTAAGACGTCCTGGGGGAAACAATTAATGCAGTTATCTTTATATAGACTTGTCGCTATTGTTTATTCCCTTATGCAATCACAAAGCGACGGACCCGGATACTGCAAATCCGTGTCTATAAGTATATGAGAAGGAAACCGACAGTTCGGATAATTTAAGTCTTAAAAGGAATTACCTTTTCCTTTTTTACAGTAATATTAATAAGGTCCAAGAGCCATTCGATTGAGAGAGTTGGATAATTTAATTCGCAAAATGAATTCTTTTTTTTTTTACAATAGTGTTTATAAGGTCCAAGAGCCACTCAAGTAAGAGGGTCGGATAATTTAAGTCGTAAAATGAATTCCATTTTTTCTTTTTACAATAGTGTTCATAAGGTCCAAGAGCCACTCAAGTAAAAGGGTCGGATAATTTAATTTAAGTCGCAAAATGAATTCCATTTTTTTCTTTTTTTTTTACAATAGTGTTCATAAGGTCCAAGAGCCACTCATGTAAGAGGATTTCTGCGTCACATTTTCCATTGTTTGTCATTAACCTTTCCTTCCCAGGTTGTTAAATTTCTGTACTTGCTTGATTTTGACATCTCTAATTTGTAGCTCGTGTCTTGGGTTGTCTCTTTTGCTGACGACCATATCTTTTGTCTCCTTACAGTTGATGGTTAGTTCTTTCTTCTCACTTTCATTTATTACCTCGTCCAAGAGTTCCTGCATTTTTTTCTGTGTCTGCCATCAGCATAGCGTCATCTACGTATATTTAATAAGAGTAGATGGGTTTGCCTATCGTTCGGTTCCCACACGTTCTTGGAGTAGGAATAGATGTTTATCATTTGTTTCCTGTTTAGGATTGAGTTTCCGGTTCTTTCTAAAATCTTTTTCATTCTCTTTCACTCCCGGTAGCTCCTTGTGTTATATATCTCCCTCGTTCTGGGGAGGACTTGGGCGACAGCATCAATTCGAAAATAAAGTTGTATTCTTCTCTTACGGCCGGTGATCGCTAGTTGTTTTGAGTCCAGAGATAAAAGAACATATACACAGGGAATTTTAACTTAGCTATTTTATTAACGTCGACGTATACATTTCTAACTATCCAGTAGGGTCGCTCTCCCTTCACCGGGGAGCCGTTTCAGACATGAAAGAGACCACGTTTACATTGCTTGACGGTTAAGAAACAACTCACGGAAAACCCTTTCTTTGCATCTATCGTACTTACGCCCGTTCAGCCAATCAAAACCGACTACCTTTATTTTGTCTTGTATCTGATCCCTAAGGTGAACCCCAGGAAGTCCGAGTAGAGATAAAACTTCCTCTAAAAACTTATAGTCTGCTAAACTATTATTTAACACTTGCATCTTAATGGCATTATTTCCCTGCTTGCGGTGAATTGATAAAAACGTGTAGTATTATGAAACTATAATACATTTGGTATGAACTGGATTTTGATGTGATAATTTTTAATGAAACAGTCAAGAGAATTTGGGGGGAAATATTTCATCAGTTGTGTTAATCGTGTATTAATTTTATTTGTTTTCTACGAGCTACCGGCAATTTTCCAACCAAGATGTCAAGGGATGGCAGCTTTCTTTTTCTTTTTCTTTTTTCCACAATAGGAATAGATGTGTTCACTTATCGCCCGGTTCACTCTCCTCCCATGTCTTTTCTACAGGAATAGACTTTTATCCCTTGTTTCGTGCTCAGGGTTGGGTTTCCTGTTTCTTCCAAATTGTTTTTAATTCTCTTTCCCTCCCAGCAGCCCCTAGCATTTTAGTGACACTATCGCCTTGGGGTGAATTGATTAAAACAAAATCACGAACTGGATAATGGTTTAACAATAATATATAGCGGAAGATCTCGTTTATTGTAGGAAACGCTCTTCTCTTCGAATTCTGTTTACAATGAAATTATAATCTTTTTTTAAAGGTGTTCATTTTCACGCTTGCCTCGTGGGACACGCAGATACTTTAATGAGTCTAGCGACCAGCCGTGGACAAATATCCTTGTTATTTTTTCATTAAGAAAAAACGTCCGATAATCCCGAGAAAAATCCTTAACACGATTAGTATTGAACAACCCTCCTCCGCCGCTGATGAGCAGTGTAATCAATATATTTGTATATAAAACACATGACCAAGTCATATGTTTAGTAGGATAAAACTGAAAAAAAAAGAACGTCACCTGTGAGGCTTGTTTTTTCACAGACGAATAAAATCTCTATTTTATTTTTCTTAAGTATTTAACAGAGGACGGAAAGCGCGGTACTGAAATCCGAAGGTTCATTGGGATAACCAAAGAAGCCTTCCAAAAGTTAAGCAAAGTATTAAGAAACAGAAAAATTTCGTTCGAAACAAAAGAAATGTTATGTAATATCAGTCCTCCTATATGGCAGTGAATGTTTGACAATCTACTCACAGGTGAAGAAGAGACTTGAAGTGGCAGAAATGTGGTTCTACAGAATGGATTGAGTACGTGAGCAACAACGAAGTTTTAGGAAAAATCGGGAAGAGACAGTTGGAATTTCTAGGGCGCATAAGAAAAGAGGGATTGGAAAATATGACACGCTCAGGACAGACTCAAAGCAAGAGGAAAAGAAGAAAACAACGCATAACCTTCCTAGCGAACTTGAGTAAATGAAAATAGTTGTAGAAAAGTGAGGGAGAATACATTTTGTGTAATATAGCAGTCGTGAGAAGAGCGATACAGAAAAAATAGATAGCTAACAGAGTACAATAACGAAAGTCAAAAGCACATGAAAGAACCATCTGGGGACTCAAGTGATAATTCACTTGCAATTGGAAGATTTTCCCGGGTATAAACACCAAGTTCATGCATATATATTCTTCTCGACAGGAAGAGGAAGATAGCCAGGAACAAAGAATTCATTGGTAGCGGTAGAAGAATTTAAATTATTTTCGCAACGTGCGAAAATATCAGAAGGACATTTTAAGAGAAAAGGTTCTACAATGTAGAAATTGGAACGTATTACACGAATATTGGAGAACAAAAGCTCCACGGGGTAGGGGATTATTGTTCACTGGTTTACATGTACTTCATTTAGTCGTATCTGTCAGAAGTTTTTTTTTTTTTTTTTTACTTCAGGACACAGACGACCATGGACCACCACATCTTCCTCTCCCTTGTAGCTCTTAATAAGTTTTGTCTTTTTACCATTTCTCCCAAACCCTGTTCTTCCACCCATCGATGACGATAAACTATATCCAGCAGCAAGGCCTCTGATCAAGAGGGTTTGAGGAGCGTGGAACCGCCTCTTAATTGCTGTTGTTCTCAGGTCCACCCTGACCCGGGGTGGTAGCACCTGTTAGGGTCCCAGCTATGGGCAAATAGTTAACCCCTAAATTGGGATCAAAGCACTATGAAAATGTAAAAATAGGTTTTTATGATAAAAAAAATCAAGCAGTACATTTTGGGAAAAAAAATGCCAGTAATACATTTGGCTCTAGATAAAAACCCACTTTACAAACTGATTATTTGCAAAGAAATACATATTCTACTCATACCAGCATATCCCCAAAATCTTGTCGGCATTAAATATCCAATTGATATGTTGATATGCCGTAAAACAAAATAAACTAAACCAATGAACCAAGCAAGCCGAATTGTATTACTAAAAACGACGTGTTTAGCTCGGTAAAGCCATAAATAAAAGTTTTAAATAAAAATCTTTTTTGAAAGAATATTGAATCTGCGCTGATCTATCTAAAAAAACAAACTCCTTTTTTTTTTTAAAAAAAAAGGAAAAAGAAACGAAGTAAAATCGGGTAGAAATATATATATATATATATATATATATATATATATATATATATGAATTTGTAGGTCTGATGAATTGGATCGTACTTACGATTCCAATGAAATAATTTATGACCATGGAGTGTTAGTGTTTAAGCCTTTTATTATTATTTTATATATATATATATATATATATATATATATATATATATATATATATATATATATATATATATGTGTGTGTGTGTAAATATTTTTTTTAACGGTACAAAAAACCTATTATGGCATTAAAGGCAAGAAATGTTTTTCTCCTCAGAACTGTAAACGGGGAAACAAATTTAATTACGTTTACAGTTCTGAGGAGAGGGGACGAAACCGGTCGACTTGTGTTCGTGTTTTTTGTTTTAAAATTTATCATGGCCTATAGTAAAAATTTCTTGCCTTTAATGCCATAAATATATATATATATATATATATATATATATATATATATATATATATACAAAATTTTTTAATTAAATTTAAATTTAAAACTCTCAGCGTCTCCTTACGTTCCTGCGCATGTGTAGTTACATCAGCGTAAACAACATTAATCGGACACCGAACTACTACCAGTCACGACGAATGGTTGTACCCTCGGGGAGGCCCCGTGCCCTGAGCGATTATTGGGCTAAAGTTCCGCATGTACATACGATCCGTCGCTAAAGATACAGAAGAAAAAAACATGGTCGGTTTCATGTGCCACCTCGAGCAATCCTCTATCTTTACAGGAGCCAGATCAGGCCAAAAATGGAGTACCGCTTCGTCTCTGTGGGCGGCAAATTATTTCCCAACCTCTCTCTCACAGACCGGATATTTCAAGCCTCTCACTGCTCTATCGCTACTTTCATGGAAAGTTCTCAGACGAACTACATTCCTTGGTTCCGCCAGGTCTAATCTTCACGGGTAGGACCCGCCATGCCACTTACATCGTAGCAAACCACCCACATTCCCCCCGTATTCCAGTGCTAAGAAGTAAGCTCCACTCAAACAGCTTCTTCCCGCGAACCACTGCTTTGGGGAACCGACCCCCGACTCCCTTTCCCCGATTGCTACAATCTTAACCTATCCAAGTCTAGAGTTAACCGTTATCTTCCCCTCCTATCAGTATAAACTGTGTCTCTAACTCTG